GCAGGTGATATTGTGTAAGAATACGTGCAGTTTGTCCTCCAGGATATCCAACGTCATGGAGTGGGAAGCTCTCAAGGTCCTACCTTTTCCCAGAGGTTATGTTTCTCCATGTGCTGGCATCCATGTTGGATTTCTGCAGAGCATGGTGGGAATCCTTACTGCCTTCAGGTCTCTGAGGTCCATCCCCCAGAGGGGTGTGGCTGATGACATATAAGCCTGTGGTTCGCACATGCTCTTTGCACTTGTGTCTTGTGTCTTTGTGTTGCTATAACTCTGTTCTGACTCTTGTGACTCTCCTGGAATCTGACTCTTGTGACCTGACCATTCTTTGTGTTCTCCTTTGATCTGGGGTCCGTTGCTGAACTTCGGGCCCGTGACCCGTGATATCTCGTCTGCTTCCTGGGGTTTTGTACCGTTGTTGTCGACCCGTGCCTGCCTGACTACTCTATTGTCTTTTTCACCAGCTACACGCCATTGGGGGGCCATTGTACCGCAACTGAGGTGTCTCGGGGGCCGCGACCTGGTTCCTGCATGTGTCAAGTCTGTATCCCCACACATCAGGGGGGGGGATAGGGCAGCCTGGGAGTTAGGACTCCGCGCCCTGGGTTACTTATTCTGTAGACTTCGGTCTGTGGGTGGTGGTTGTACCAGCCAGTTTGGGTTACATTGTTAGGCCCAAAGCCTGTCCGTTCATCAGCTCCTGCCCTGACATTTAGGAGAGTAGCGGGGCATCTGTTTACAAACTTTTATTTCAGCAGACCCTCCGGAAAACTCCCTCCCCCCGGTTTTTTTTTCAAAACTGCCTGAGGCTGGGGATGCAGGCCTAGAAAAATAAGCGATCCAGCATGTTTAAATACCAGGGAAAGCCTAGGTGGCGTGCGGCTTCCAATGCCCGATTTTACCCATGGATTTCTGGGGTATCAATGGCTTGGGGGGACTCCCGGGTCTGTGACTTCAGCAGCAGGAGGGTAGTGGGAGGTCCGTGAAGGCTGAGGGTCAGCGGAGCTCAACCTTCACCATCCGCCATCTTGGATCGTCAAGCATGCGCCCCGTATATTTCTATTTAAAGTTGTATTTGGTGTTTAATTTGTACTTGGTTTTATTTGGGGGGCACAAACAATATCCGCAAACTCCAAATGGAAGGTTTGGAAGTTTCTCTTTGCGAAAGAATATATAAAGGTCATTTTTGTCAATACATTGGGTGGTAAAAGGGATAAAACCGTAGAGATCAGAGTGTAGGCGTGTTATCGGGGTAATTGATACAGGAAAGGAAGTCCGGGCGCAATCCCGAAGGAATTGTAGTGCCATCTATCAGAGAAGCAACGACATTCAACATGTCTAAATTTTCTTGATACACCTGAACTGTGATTTACCTGACCAGATAAACATCACTGGAGTGCCATTGACTTGATGCCAGACTCTGATTAAAAAGTCAGAATTGTTGATGGGAAGAGAGCGCTGTTTTTGTGTCAAATACTCTGATTTTGACTCATATTATGTCATATTTGAATTTTGTATTATTGCCCTCAACAGCAGCTCACAGAGACTATAATATATTCGTACCATTCCCCAGTTCAATAGCACGCAGTTTTACTCTTAGAGTGATTTCTTGTGTGCAATATTGTGGTATTTAGTGACATTGTGTAGGTTTCTGCATTTTGGCATCTATTCTGATTTTCATGCATTTCGTATTTATTGCACTGCTGGTGTGTAACTCGCTTACATTCACTAAAATCTCATATACAGTTTCAAGAAAAAGTATGTGAACCCCTTGGGATTACGTGGAGTTTTGCATGAATTGGGTAAAATGTGCGTCTGAACGTCATCTAAGTCACAACAATATAAGAACACAGTCTGCTGAACATAATACTACACAAAAACATTAGATGTTGCCGTGGTTTAATTGCACAACAGTAAACATTCACAGTGCAGGGTGGACAAAGTATGTGAGACCCTAGCTTAATGACTTCTCCCAGAGCTAATTGGAGCCAAGAGTGAGCCAACCTTGACTCCAATCAGTGTGATGATATTGGATGTGTTGCTGACAGTTGTCCTGCCCATAAAAAAGACACACACCTGAGTTTGGGGGTTTACTGGTTTGGGGAAGCACTGTCTGATGTGAACCATGCCTCGCAGAAAAGAGCTCTCAGAAAACCTACGATCAGGAATTGTTGGCTGGCATGAAGCTGGAAAGGGTTACAAAGTATCTCCCCAAAGCCTTGATGTTCCTGTGTCCTGGCTTGGGGTAAGACAGAGGTCTGTCTACAAATGAGGTCCAGAAAGTTTAGCACTGTTGCGGACTCTCCCTAGGCGTGGTCGTCCTGTAAAAATTGATCTGCAAGAGCACAGCGCAGAATGCTGCATGAGGTTTTTAATTTGAATCCCAGAGTGTCACTAAAGAATACAGCAAACTCTCTGGCACAGGTTTGCTAAGTTTTTGTTGACACATTTACAATAAGGAAAACATTAAACAAGAATGGAGTACATGGGAGGACACCACGGAGGAAGCCATTGCTGGCCAAAAAGAATATTGCAGCACGTTTGAAGTTTGCAAAAGAGCACCTGGATGTTCCACAGCACTACTGGCAAAATATTCTGTGGACAGATGAAACCAAGATTGAGTTGTTTGGGAAGAACACACAACACTATGTGTGGAGAAAAAAAGGCCCAGCACACCAACATCAAAACCTCATCCCCACTGTGAAACATGGCGGAGGGAGCATCATGGTTTGGGGCTGCTTTGCTGCCTCAGGGCCTGGACGGATTGTTGTCATTGATGGGAAAATGAATTCCAGAGTTTATCAAGACATTCTGCAGGAAAACGTACGACCATCTGAAGCTCCGCAGAGGATGGGTGATGCAACAGGACAATGACCCAAAGCATACAAGTCATTCAACAAAACAATGGCTGCAACAGCACAGAATACGCCTTCTGGAGTGGCCCAGTCAGAGTCCTGACCTCAACCCCATTGAAATGCTGTGGCATGACCTTAAGAGAGCGATTCACACCAGACATCCCAAGAATATTGCTACACTGAAACAGTTTTGTGAAGAGGAGTGGTCCAAAATGACTCCAGATCGTTGTGCAGGTCTGATCTGCAACTACAGGAAACGTTTGGTTGAGGTTTATTGCTGCCAAAGGAGGGTCAACCAGTTATTAAGTCCAAAGGTTCACATACTTTTTCCTCCCTGCACTCTGAATGTTTACATGTTATGTGCAATTAAACCATGGCAACATCTAATGTTTGTGTAGTATTATGTTTAGCAGACTGTGTTCTTCTATTGTTGTGACTTAGATGACGTTCAGAGCACATTTTATGCCCAATTCATGCAAAACTCCACGTAATCCCAAGGGGTTCACATACTTTTTCTTGCAACTGTATATGGGTGGTCTGGTCCCAGTTTCTGTGGGTAGCTACACACACTATATTGCCAAAAGTATTGCTTTTCCACGCACATGACCTTTAATGGCCCCCCAGTCTTAGTCCGTAGGGTTCAGTATTGAGTTGGCCCCGCCCTTTCCCCGCACTTGACCTTTAATGGCCCCCCAGTCTTAGTCCGTAGGGTTCAATATTGAGTTGGCCCCCGCCCTTTCTACGCACATGAACTTTAATAGCTCCCCAGTCTTAGTCCGTAGGGTTCAATATTGAGTTGGCCCCGCCCTTTCCATGTACGTGACCTTTAATGGCCCCCCAGTCTTAGTCCGTAGGGTTCAATATTGAGTTGGCCCCGCCCTTTCCACGCACATGACCTTTAATGGCCCCCCAGTCTTAGTCCGTAGGGTTCAATATTGAGTTGGCCCCGCCCTTTGCAGCTATAACAGCTTCAACTCTTCTGGGAAGGCCGTCCACAAGGTTTAGGAGGGTGTCTATGGGAAGGTTGGACCATTCTTCCAGAAGCACATTTGTCAGGTCAGGCACTGATGTCGGGGGAGGAGGCCTGGTTCACAGTCTCCGCTCTAATTCATCCCAAAGGTGTTCTATGGGGTTGAGGTCAATCCCATGGGAAGGGGAGACTCTCAGAGTGACGCTGACGCATTTCAATGGGGGTCCCTTCTTCATTAGAGCTTCATCTTCATCAGTGAGTTTTCAAAGATTGCCTAAAGGCAGACAGGGTGGGGGCTGACCGGACATACTGGGGTATGGAGTTTCAGAGGATTAGAGAGGCCATCCTGGGTCCACCCCAAACTGGCTCCTCCATGTCTTTATGGACCTTGCTTTGTGCACTGGTGCGCAGTCATATTGGAACAGGAAGGGGCCATCCCCAAACTCTTCCCACAAAGTTGGGAGCATGAAATTGTCCGACATGTCTTAGTTTGCTGACGCCTTAAGAGTTCCCTTCACTGGAACTAGGGGGCCAAGCCCAACCCCTGAAAAACACCCCCACGCCATAATCCCCCCTCCACCAAACTTTACACTTGGTACAATGCAGTCAGTCAAGTAACGTCCTCCTGGCAACCGCCAAACCCAGATACGTCCATCGGATTGCCAGACAGAGAAGCGTGATTGGTCACTCCAGAGAACACGCCTCCTCTGCTCTAGAGTCCAGTGGCGGCGTGCTTTACACCACGGCATCCAACGCTTTGCATTGCACTTGGTGATGGAAGGCTTGGATGCAGCTGCTCGGCCATGGAAACCCATTCCATGAAGCTCTCTACGCACTGTTGTTGGGCTCATCTGAAGGCCACACCAAGTTTGGAGGTCTTTAGCTATTGACTCTGCAGACAGTCGGCGACTTCTGCGCACTGTGCGCTTCAGCATGCGCTGACCCCGCCCTGTCATGTGACGTGGCCTACCACTTGGTGGCTGAGTGGCTGTTGCTCCCAGTTGCTTCCACTTTGTTATAATCCCACTAACAGTTGAGCGTGGAATATTTAGTAGCCAGGAAATGCCACAGATGGACTTATTGCCCAGGTGGCCACCTATCACGGGACCACGCTTGGAGTCACTGAGCTCCTGAGAGCGACCCATTCTTTCACCAATGTTTGTAGAAGCCGTCTGCATGTCTAGGGGCTTGATTGTATACACCTGTGTCCATGGAGGGGATTGGAACACCTGAATCACATTATATGGAGGGGATTGGAACACCTGAATCACATGATATGGAGGGGATTGGAACACCTGAATCACATGATTTGGAGGGGATTGGAACACCTGAATCACATGATATGGAGGGGATTGGAGCACCTGAATCACATGATATGGAGGGCTGGCCCAATACTTTTGGCAATATATAAACCTGGGTAAATATTCACAAATCCACCAGGACTCTTGTTGGTCCCTTTGCTGGTAATACCTGTTTGTACATTGGATGTATGTACTGGCCATAGAGGTGATTGGAACACCTGAATCATTTTGAGGGGACAACAAATTTCCATGTTATACAAGCTGTACACTGACTACGTCACATTGTAGCAAAGTGTCATTTCATCAGTGTTGTCACATGAAAAGAGAGAATCAAATATTGACACAAATGTGAGGGGGGACTCACTTCTGGGGGATACTGTATATATACACACACACACACACATTGTATACAGTCCGGGGGAGGGGGGAACTCACTTCTGGGAGAGAGATATATATATATATATATAGTGGGAACTCGCATCAGAATGGTAGAGCTTTCTTTTTTAAAGCACACAGCAACTCGCTTCTTCTTTTCAAAGGCCTTTTAGCCCAATTTTACTTAAACGAAAGCTCAATAACAAAAATGCTTCCCACGCAGAGATATCCATCATCCAACAAATGCAATTTACGTCTGTCTCCTGCAGACTCTATCCAAAATGCCTCTAGCACACAGCTACTCTGGCTTCCACCTCTACTAGGTGAAGCCCACCTGACTCCAAGGCAGCGACCTCCTGTCTGCCGAGGTGCAGCCCTCCTGTCTGCTGGGGTGGAGCCCTCCTGACTCCTGTCTGCCGGGGTGGAGCCCTCCTGACTCCTGTCTGCCGGGGTGGAGCCCTCCTGTCTGCCGGGGCGGAGCCCTCCTGTCTGCCGGGGTGGAGCCCTCCTGACTCCTGTCTGCCGGGGTGGAGCCCAGAATCATGGTTTGAGCCTCTACAAAAAGGCCTGCACACACCTGTACAATCAGTGTGCTGGCTGCTCTCAAAACCTGGACCCAGGACTGGAGATTTCATCCCTCCCAAATCACTTAGAAATCTCCAGGCCCCGGGTCCCAAAACAGGCTTTACAAACCAAAGAGGAAACTGATAAACCAGATTCCTCTGCATTACGAGAACTACCTGGAGCCCCTCAACCTGTATAGTTGAGAATCCTTGGTCACCACCGTGATTTCCACCATGGCAGGATACCGCACTGCCACATATCCCCCCCTTTGTTTTGATCCTGTAGGGGGCAGAACACACAAGCCCAAACTCTTTAATTTGGCACCTCTGTTCCAGCTGTCCCCCATATGAGCCCATTCCTGACTGACATCGCTTTCAAAGGGAGATTTCCTTCCTGTCTTACGAGGCGACTTTCCCTGTGTTCTCCTACTACACGGACTTGGGCTCTATGAAGACACTGCGCCTTTTTACGGGTTCGCTTCCAAAAGCGTTGCTTCTCTATTTTCCTTGGGGCCACCCAAGTCACCTTCCCATTAAGGAACTTCCAAACCTTGGCACCTTTCTGAGGATGAGGATGACACCTGACTTTTAGATGTCGGAGAACATTAAAGCTACGCTGCACTTTCAACAGCCGGTTTCCCTTTACCTTTGAAGGGGTCACACTTTTAAACAGAAGTGTGGGCTCTTTTATTGGGGTTCCCTTAGTCCCTCTCTGCATTCTATGTACAGGCATCTTCTTACTGACTAAACTTAGCTCTGCCCCCCCGTACACTGCATGCTTCCTCTTGTCCCTGACATTCTCAGATGACAGCAATCCTACTCTCCTTCTGAAGGACAGCCCAATTGTCTTGCCCTTCAGATGTTTTTATGTCAGGGGACCTCTTTACATATTCCACTTCCTTCAAGTTTTCCCTCGGGGCAGATAAGCCATTTAAAGTTTCCCTTCCCAGACTTCCCTCCTGAACCTGTAGGGGGCGTAATTCTCCTGCAGCTTTTATCTCAGCTGTGTCTGCCGCATCATTACCCCCCACATCACATGTTTCAGGGTTATCAACACGCATGTCCACGTGACCTTCAGGTCCATCATTGGGCTTATGGTCACCCACAGAAACTAAATGATTGACATTTACCAGTGCCTCGCACTCTTCCTCATCATCATCATAAATATCAACATTTACAAGGGCCTTGTATTTTTTCTCATGGTCAGAATCATCCACAGCTTTGTCAGAACTCCTGTCAGTGTTTGTTAGGACAGTGTCTGTAGATGGCACACACCATAGGACAGCATCTGTAGATGGCACACACACCATAGGGCAGCATCTGTAGATGGCACACACACCATAGGGCAGTGTCTGTAGATGGCACACACACCATAGGGCAGTGTCTGTAGATGGCACACACACATAGGGCAGCCATCACCCACGGGAACCTCACAAGATGCCACCTCACCTGGTGTCATGCACTCTGCAGGCGGCTGTCCCACCATTATAACTTTTCCTACAGCACTTGGATCTGTATCCCGATCCTGAACAGGTCAGCTTTCTTCTGATCCATTTTGCCAGTTTTCACATACAACTTGTCCCTGTATTTCAGGGGTGTTATCAGACCTGCTACATAAACCTCTTTTTGGCGCAGTGACCCTGATTTCTTTATGTACATCCGTCTGAGCCCTGGTCAGGATCTCTGCTGATCTCTGGTCCATGCTCGGCCCTTCCATCACATGTGGTTTGTCCACTGGTGCAGTAGACATGCCCTTCACTGACAACTGACCAGCACCATCCTGGACCATAGCGGCAGAAATGCTTCCCTCTTATCAGGAGGTGGAACCTTGGACTCATTTTTAATTTCTCCAAAACCTCTCCCATAGATCACATTTCAATTCCAGCCTGTGCTAATCATCAGGACCCCATCATTCCAGCAGGGGTACTATACAACCAACCATCCCCGCAAGCAGGAATGATGGTGGAGCGCCCCCCACTGGACACTGATAAGAACAGATACTACACTTGATCTTAGCCAAAATGCCGAGAAGTAGTAATGTTATACTATGTGATTTTAGTGATTTTAGTGAATGTCACTTTTTCAACTTTCAAATTTCCCGCCAGTTCCATCCCCCGTACGTCCCGACGCTCGCAGGGAATGGAACCCAGATGACAGATGCCGGCATCCGCCGGATTACATTGCCGGGGACACTGCAGGAGGGACATCGCGGGAGCGCAGGACAAGGTAAGTGACCGAGGGATCGTGGAGCAACGCCTCATGGTATTCCCGAGTGTAGCTCGGGGTTACCGCTTGTGGTACTGAAACTTTACCCCGAGCTACACTTGGGAATACCGCCAGGGAGGTTAATACTTCTGTTACAACCCAACCACTTGACTCTAGACCTAAGACCTTCCTGGCGAGATTTAGGACACAGAATGCCGAGAGACCCACCTGCTGAGACTTGAGAAGCTGAAACTCCTCCCAGCTGGAGGTAACCACAACTTGGTGCTCCACCAGAGCGCTGCTGATAGGAACCAGCTGGTGGTAGCCTCTAGCGCTCCACAGACCAGAATTCCCCAGGGTGCGGGATATAAGTCCCGACCTGCTTGTTCACCAGAGCCCCTGATGGTGGGGATGGACTTGGAGCAAGCCAAGACCAGGTCGCGGCCCCTGGGTGCAACCAGCTGTGGTAGAGGCACCTGTCGGTGGTGCGCAGCAGGTGAGAGTCCGATGTCAGGAGGTAGAGTAAGCGAGGTCAGACAGGCCGGGTCGGTAACAGCGGAGCAGGTCGGTACAACTGGCAGGCACAAGAATAAACGGGTCACGGTCCGGGTTTGGCAACTGGAGATCAAAGGTGCAGGAGCAGGCAGGAGAATGTTCAGGCAAGCCAGGGGTCAGAGCAGGAGAAGTCAGCAGATCAGGATCAGGCAGGGTCAGCAGCAAAGTAAACTCACGGAACACAGGAAAGACCATACGGCAACTGAGCACTGACAGATTCCATTTAAATAGGGCGCCCTGCACTCCTTTTGGTGCCAGGTGCACGTCCGCAATCAGGTCCCAGGTCCTAACACCCGCAGTGCGCCTCGGCACATCGCACATGCGCAGACCCATGCGCCACGATCCGGCTTGGGATCCCTGACAGCTGCCAGGTGCTGGGCTCACTCTCAACATCTCAGACTCCGCATCATTAAGCTGCCCTCGATCATTAAGCTGCCCTCCATAAGCTGCCCTCGACAACCTCATTTTGACCCTCCATGCCAACATCACATTTGTGGGTCCCAGACAGTCTCTGCTGTATGCTCGCCCTTATCTATAGGCTGTTCTATGGACCCTCCTGCTGGTACAGCAGACACAGTGTCCACCTTCATTTTTTGCATAAAAGACTCATCTATCAACAAGATTATCCTTTTACCCCAATCCATTGTATATGTGCTCCATCCATCCGCCCAAGGAGACACATAAGAATAGACGGGCTTAGTTGTAGATCCATTGCACAAATCACTCTGGATCCTGTCAGACTTGGGTAACACCTGTTTTCCCACTGCAGGTTGCAATACCTCCCATCCACCACTTTGTTCTGGTGGCGCTTCATGAATTACCCACACATTTGTATTTTTGCCAGGCTGTATTAACCCGTTGTTTACCTGAACACTTTCAGTATTAGTATGATGGCACCAACACACACTCCTATGACAAGGTGCAGTTCCACTCTGCTCCACCAGAGTGACATCGCAGTTGTCCGGGGCAACCTCCGGCTCCGATACACAGAGATCCCTGGAGATTTCTAAGCACACCTATACTGTCTTACCACCAGTTGCTATGGGAAATGACCCGTCTTTATTTACCGCTTTTGCACTGCAAGAGCTCAGGGTTTTCCCACCAGCAGTACATTTCTCAACATCGCCAACATTATCAGCATTTTTAGCTCTTGTGGGCTGTACTAGCCCACTACCAACCTGTGACTGGCAGACATTAGTGACATCACTTCCTTTATGAGAACCACGCACAGGTTTTACTATAACCCCTACCTCCCCACTGTACAAGGCACTGCACCGGGAATAGTCACTCTCAGGAGCACATTCAGTGGCCCAACTAACTGGGGTCACTCCTACATCAGAATGGACCATAACCAGTCCTTCTCAACATGACATCAGCAGTCCCAGCCATGGTTTTATCACACACAGTCTTACCCACCACAGTAGTAGGTGTCACCATCTTCCTCTAACCCACCATAGTAGTAGGTGTCGCCATCTTCCTCTTAGCCACCACAGTAGTAGGTGTCGCCATCTTCCTCTTAGCCACCACAGTAGTAGGTGTCGCCATCTTCCTCTTAGCCACCACAGTAGTAGGTGTCGCCATCTTCATCTTACCCACCACAGTAGTAGGTGTCGCCATCTGCCTCTTACCCACCACAGTAGTAGGTGTCGCCATCTTCCTCTTAGCCACCACAGTAGTAGGTGTCGCCATCTTCATCTTACCCACCACAGTAGTAGGTGTCGCCATCTTCCTCTTAGCCACCACAGTAGTAGATGTCGCCATCTTCATCTTACCCACCACAGTAGTAGGTGTCGCCATCTTCATCTTAGCCACCCCAGTAGTAGGTGTCACCATCTTCGTCTTACCCACCACAGTAGTAGGTGTCGCCATCTTCCTCTTACCCACCACAGTAGTGGGTGTCGCCATCTTCATCTTACCCACCACAGTAGTAGGTGTCGCCATCTTCGTCTTACCAACCACAGTAGTAGGTGTCGCCATCTGTGTCTAAGCCACCACAGTAGTAGGTGTTGCCATCTTCGTCTTACCCACCACAGTAGTAGGTGTCACCATCTTCGTCTTACCCATCACAGTAGTAGGTGTCACCATCTTCCTCTTAGCCTCCACAGTAGTAGGTGTCACCATCTTCATCTTACCCACCACAGTAGTAGGTATCGCCATCTTTGTCTTACCCACCACAGTGGTGGGTAAGATGAAGATGGTGACACCTACTACTGTGGTGGGTAAGAGGAAGATGGCGACACCTACTACTGTGGTGGGTAAGACAAAGATGGCGACACCTACTACTGTGGTGGGTAAGACAAAGATGGCGACACCTACTACTGTGGTGGCTAAGAGGAAGATGGCGACACCTACTACTGTGGTGGGTAAGACGAAGATGGCGACACCTACTACTGTGGTGGCTAAGACACAGATGGCGACACCTACTACTGTGTAGGTGACTGTGTAGGTGACAGTAGGTGTCGCCATCTTCATTTGAGTGTGTCCTCTCATAAATGCATCCTCAACTGCACTTTCCTTGGCAACTTTTCCCTTGTGGCCCAAAGGAGAAGTAACAGACGCCCTCATAAGCTCCATGGACTCTCTGGCACCCCCTGCAGGCCCAACAGGTACTTCCTCCCTGTTGCCAGAGGTGGCTGCCAACATTTTAAAACCATAATCTGGGCTTGCAGATGAAGACATTTGCCCAGTATCAGCGGTATTCCAGAGTCTGGAACAGGTAAAGATCCCATGCCCCCACTGACCACATTCCAGGCAGGGTACATTTCCACACTTATCTTTGTTGGGACCCTGAGCCACATCTCCAATGCAGCTCCTCCTTCCAGGAAATACTTTTCCTCCGGTCGCCATGGGAGATTGCACTCTCCAAGCAGAACTTTGCTGGCTCTTTCCAACATGCTGTATTGGCTCCTCTTGATGACACTTGCCATGATCCTTGTAAGACATAGCCCCCAGTACACAGACAGCCCGACTGGCCTCCTCTGTGTTGCTTTGGGCAATCACTCTTGGTCCTGCCCTCTGGTCAGCCCTCTCCTTGCACATAGTGTGGGCTTCTCTCTGCTGGACCTTCTCTCAAGCTGTGACATGTTCACATTTTCCACAACAGCTACTGGTTTAATTGCATCAGCGCTGCCAGGGGCGACAACACCCCTCTCCCAGGTATGGACATCCTGCAGCTCTCTCCTTGCACTGAAGCTTGGCTTGCTTTCCTCTGTAGGTTGTTTTAATGCTGCCAGGTGCCGCTTGCATCAGTCCACAGCAGACTCACCCACATTTAAATTTCCCATCTTGGTTGGGGAATGTGGTATGTAACCCTCTAACCACAGGGCTCTATCTCTCGCTTCAGCAAGCATTGCCTCCTTTTTCTGTTTTGACCGCCCCATCTTTGCAGTCACGCACACAGCAGTGTGTTACACAGCAACACCATGGAACTCTGTACAGTCTGTCTCTGTAAGGCAAGTTCCTTTTCTCTGGCAGGTTCTCCTCCCCGGCACACACAGATTGTGCCGTCCATTGCACAGAAACACACATCAACAAATTAAAGCACTTTATTGCAGGGATCTCTAGTTCTGCCCAATGCCTCCACCACCATATGTGGGAACTCGCATCAAAATGGTAGAGCTTTCTTTTTTAAAGCACACAGCAACTCGCTTCTTCTTTTTAAAGGCCTTTTAGCCCAATTTTATTTGAAACGAAAGTTCAATAACAAAAATGTTTCCCACACAGAGGTATCCACCATCCAACAAATGCAACAAATATTCAGCCTCCTGGCTTGTACACCGATTTACGTCTGTCTGCTGCAGACTCTATCCAAAATGGTTGTTTTGCACCCAGATAGCCTCTAGCACACAGCTACTCTGGCTTCCACCTCTACTAGGTGAAGCCCACCTGACTCCAAGGCAGCGACCTCCTGTCTGCTTGGGTGGAGCCCACCTGACTCCAAGGCAGAGACCTCCTGTCTGCCGGGGTGGAGCCCTCCTGTCTGCCGGGGTGGAGTCCACCTGACTCCAAGGCAGTGACCTCCTGTCTGCCGGGGTGGAGCCCCTGACTCCAAGGCAGAGACCTCCTGTCTGCCGGGGTGGAGTCCACCTGACTCCAAGGCAGAGACCTCCTGTCTGCTGGGGTGGAGCCCACCTGACTCCAAGGCAGAGACCTCCTGTCTGCCAGGATCAAGCCCTCCTGCCTCCTGTCTGCCGGGGTGGATCCCTCATGCCTCCTGTCTGCCGAGGTGGAGCCCAGAATCATGGTTTGAGCCTCTACAAAAAGGCCTGCACACACGTGCACAATCAGTGTGCTGGCTGCTCTCAAAATCTGGACCCCGGATTGGAGATTTCATCCCTCCCAAATCTCTTAGAAATCTCCAGGCCACAGGTCCCAAAACAGGCTTTACAAACCAAAGAGGAAACTGATAAACCAGTTTGCTCTGCATTACGAGAACTGCCTGGAGCCCCTCAACCTGTATAGTCGAAAATCCTGGATCTCCATCGTGATTTCCACCGTGGCAGGATACCGCACTGCCACAATATATATACATTATATACAGTCCGGGGGAGGGGGGACTCACTTCTGGGAGATACTGTATATATATATATACATTGTATACAGTCCGGGGGAGGGGGGACTCACTTCTGGGAGATACTGTATATATATATATACATTGTATACAGTCCGGGGGAGGGGGGACTCACTTCTGGGAGATATTGTGTATATATATATATATACCTACATTGTATACATTCCGGGGGAGGGGTGGACTCACTTCTGGGAGATATTGTACACAGTCTGGGGGGTACTCACTTCTGGGAGATATTGTACACAGTCTGGGGGGGACTCACTTCTGGGAGATACTGTATGTATATAGTCAAATGTGGGTTTTGAATTGTTTTTCTCACAATCCTGCGAGCTGTTCTGTCTGATATTTTTCTTGGTCTTCCAGATCTTGCTTTAACTTCCACTGTTCCTGATGGCTGCCATTTCTTAATTACATTCCGAACAGAGGATATTGACATCTGAAAATGCTTTGCTATCTTCTTATAGCCTTCTCCAGCTTTGTGAGGGTCAACTATTTTCAGTTTCAGTTTTCTAGACAACTGCTTAGAAGACCCCATGGTGCTGATTGTTGGGGCAAGGTCAGATGAGTCGGGGCATTTAAAACCTTTGAGATTGACATCACCTGGTCTTCCCAGACGATGATTGAGAACAATCCATGACACTGGCAGGTCTCAGCTTGGCAAAGGGGGCAGTGCATGCTATAAATTCTGCAGGGGGCCCAAACTTTTGCAGATGCCACTTTTTTGTTTTCTGTTATTTTGAAAGTGTAAATGATGGAAATAAAATCTAACTTTTATTGACATATTATAAGAACGTCTAATCTGTAATTTGATGCCTTTTGGAGCTTTTTCCATCTTTCCTTGGCTTCTTTATGCACATTAATACAAATTTTTAGCTGGGGTGCCCAAACATTCGATCCTCACTGTATATATATTAGACATTCTGTATGTATATATATATATATATGTGTGACGGAAGGTGGGGGGCCCATGGAACCCAGCTGACTTTGGAGAGGTGGGGAGACCCCTGTCTCAGCTCCCCATATCCCTCTTATGTGTAAGTCACCCTGTACATGTTAGGGGTACAGGGTGATCTGTCCTAATATTGTGTAGACATGTATAGGTGGGGTGGGGGTTGTGGATTGTTTGGTGTTATGTGGTTTCAGCCCATTGTTCTGTTGTTTCTCTGGCTTGGGAGCAAACTATTATGGGATGTATGTGTTTATGTGTATTAGCTTAGTGGGGGGGGGTCTCCAGCAGCCCTCCCTCCTGATGGGACTGTCTGCTGGTGTGTAGTTTGAATACCTGCGTGTCTCTTGTTACTAAATGTAGATTGCCCCGCCCTGTGTCATTATGCAGGGAGGGGGGATTGTCCCCTGAGTGTATATATCTTGTATCTGTGTTCCAATAAACTAGTCTACCTCCTGGATTACTTCAAGACTGGTGTCGTCTAGTCTTGTATAGTCGGCTGTGGTGTCTGTGGTCGGTATTTGAATGGGGAAGCGGTATTCTAACAGAAGTATCCAAGCGCAGTCTGGGGTCGGTTCCGTTACATTGGTGGCAGCGGTGGGATTGTGTTTCCAAGCTGTGAACACGTCCAAACCACCACCGTAAATCAAGTTTACGAAAGTAGACGTCGGTCACCCCAGTGGAGATATGGACCTGGCATCAGAGTTCCTGGGGCTGCTGCGGATCGTTCTTGCAACATACCCCAGGACTGTGTCTGCGGATGAGTACCTGGAGCTCAGGCAGCGGATTCGGGTGGTGCTTTGGAGTGGAGCCCTCCATTTTGCTGGTATGGACAAGGGCAAGTGCTATCCAACCCCAGGGAACGGGCCAGGGACCGTCAGAAGTTATGGATGCCATTCCTGGGAGAGCGACCCCAGGAGCAATGGGTGACTGAGTTGGACAGGCTGGTCCAGCAGGAGATAGAGCTGGACAACCGATATCGGGTCTGCAATGGTACGCAGAGCAGGAATATTTAGGGGTGACAACAGAATGCTCTCCGGAGGGATATGACTTTGGTGGCCTTGGATTGCTGTGGGAGAGCCTTACAGATCATTTTGTGTTTGGCGATGAAGGAAAACCTACCCTGGAGGACCTGCGAGAAGACAGAGAGGCTATGTTCAGTCTCACATTTTGAGGGGACAGCAAATTTACATGTTATACAAGCTGTACACTGACTACGTCACATTGTAGCAAAGTGTCATTTCTTCAGTGTTGTCACATGAGAAGATAGAATAGAATACTTACAAAAATATGAGGGGGGGGGGACTCACTTCTGGAATACTGTGTGTGTGTATATATATATATATATACAATAGTGCCCATGTGCTGGGAACTTGAGCGAAGATGTGAACTGATTTAGAGAATTGAAAAAAAGACACAGATTACAGTACAGATTACATCCGGTCACTAACCTCTTGTGGCTGTGAAGGAGGTTCAGTTTCCTGTCTCGTAGAGTTTGGTTTGTGTTTTCACTCACACGACATCAGTAATTCGTTCACCTACCTGAAGATAGCATGGAGCCCATAATCCTCCTCCTGGGGGTGATCTCAGGTAAGTACACACAGCACAGTCCAGGCTGTAGGTTTGGGAATTTTTTTTATTATAATAATATATTTTATTATCTTTTTTTTCTATTTCTTGCAAAGATGTCTTTAAAAACCACACTATTAACTTTTAGTAAAAGTTTCTTTTCACAACGTCCGGCATTTTTTGCTGGCTGATAGCTAAGAAGAGTGGGAAATTTGAGTGGCGAGTGATAAAGTTTTACTTTTGTCTGCTGGTGACTGCTGGTGCTTGTAGTTGTTTTATTTTCTTCTTTGGGTCTTGCTGAAAGCTTTTACTTTATTTACATCCTTTTTTCTGTCACTTTTTAAATAGCATTTTTTTCCTTTCCTTGTCTTCCTTAAGTCTGCTAATTAAGGGGCGGGGTTAATTGGTCTCAGGCGATACAGGTCTATATAACTTTCTGTAGAGCTCACTCTGAGCGTGCTCATTCTTGACCTTGCCTGCATTTTGCTTGCTGGACCTTTGACCAAGTGGACATTTGATAAGTGGAGTTAAAAAACTGGAGTTGGAAACAGGAGATTATAACCGGAGTCTACTGACCTGTATGTGACAACTGATATTTCCTGCTAATACTGTACCTGGGACATGAGGTCTAGCGGGGTGGAAGGGTTTGGGGCCGCGCGCATGTGGAAGGGTTTGTGCCAGTGCGCATGCGGAAGGGTTTGGGTGTGCCGCGCGCATGCGGAAGGGTTTGGGCCGCGCGCATGCGGAAGGGTTTGGGCCGTGCACAGTGTGCCGCGTTGTATACAGCAATGGAGCAACAGCTCCCGGATGGATTCTGCTGCGACAGATGTGAGCGGGTTGCCCTTCTGGAATCTCACGTTAGAGGTCTGGAGGAGAAAGTTGCAACACTGGGAAGAACCAACAACCTTGAAAGGGGTCTTCTGCTCTCTGAGCGGGTAGTTAATGGGATTGATGTGGAGGGCAGAGGGTCTAATCAGGATTATCAGGTAGGAAGATGGGTTATTGTAACGAGAGGGAGTGGTCGGGGCTCACAGAAAAGGAAGGCTGGCCCTGGGTTTGTGAACCCAAACAGATTTGCCAAGTTGGGTGAAGATGTGGGGTGACAGCCCTGGATGTCACTGCTATCTCTAACAGCCGGGAGGGCAGACTATCTGGGAGGGGTGATGAGGGTAGTGCAGAAGGTCTAGACTGGGGGGGGGGATTGTAGTGCAGGAAGGCCTAGACTGGGGGGGATTGTAGTGCAGGAAGGCCTACACAGCTGGTGGTAGTAGGGGATACTATAATCAGAAGGACTGATAGAATAATTTGTTGCCAGGATCGCCTCAACCGAATGGTTTGCTGCTCTCCCTGGTGCCAGGGTTCTGCATGTGGTGGGCCGAGTTGATAAATTACGGGGAGGGGCGGGGCATGACCCATGTGTCTTGCTCCATGTTGGAACCAATGACAGAATACATGGAAGGTGGAGGCTCCTTAAGACTCAATGTAAAGAACTCGGCTGCAAGTTGAAGGGAAGGACCTCCAAGGAGATATTCTCTGAAATATTACCTGTGCCATGCGCAACTCAGGAGAGACGGGGAGATTAGAGAACTCCATGCATGGCTGAAGACCTGGTGTAAGAGGAAGGATTTGGGGGTTTCTAGAGCACTGGGCTGACTTTCATTGGGGTGCAACCGATATGCTAGAGATGGTCTGACACCTAAATGGAAGGGGGTCTACTGTGCTGGGGGAGGGGTTTATGGAAGGCTGGATGAGTATATAAAACTAGGATGGAGGGGAGGGAGAATTTGATTATAAGGGGGTAGACAGATCATTGTGTGACCGGGGTTAGTGCTTATTGGGGGGGTGGAATGGGGAAAGATGGGGGGAGGGCTATGGCAGATAAGAAGGTTCCCATGTTTACAAACAACCAGTGGAATTGGTATCATTTGTATGAGAATAAAAAAATATGGAAAATCCGTGTGAACAAGGTGTCGGTGAATGAACAAGGTGTCGGTGAATGAACAAGGTGTCGGTGAATGAACAAGGTGTCAGTGAATGAAATGTCTGTTCCCCAATGCCAGAAGTCTGCCCAGCACAATAGGTGAGTTGGAAGGTTTGGTGCATGAAGAGAACTAGGATTTAATTGGTATTGCTGAATCTTGGCTTCATTCCTCACATGAACTGGGCCATTCATATTCCTGGCTAGGTTCTCTTCCAGAGAGATATGGAAATAGGAAAGGTGGTGGTGTCTGTCTCTATGTGAGAAGTGATCTCAGAGCGAGTGTGAAAGAGGACCTAGTTGATGGAGAGTGTGATGAGGTATACTTGGACAGGGGGTGGCTGTGAACGTGGTACTTGGACCGA